GAATTGGTATTTGGGTCTTGCTGTGTCACAGCTTCCAGTGGAATAGTCTCGGAGAACTTTATTTCCTATATTATCCAGTCGTTCCAGATTTACCCAATTAACAGGTGTCATTTTGCCATGAAAGCACTGACATCACATGTGTATTTGTGAAAATCCTCTTAGCGAACTCCTGAGCCCTGTCCTGCTTTCTATACTTCCAAGTTGATGGCCTGTTTTCAGTTAAGCCCTGCAGGCTAACTCTTTTTTTCCCCTTCCCCTTTTTTTAATGGTGACCTTTGCAGCTCAGCACTTTTTATTCCTGCCATGATAGCAAAAGCAATGTTGTTATGACTGCTGACATTTTTGTCAGAGCATGCCAATAAAGGTTAAAAGATATGCCAAAGCAGCTGCCATTGTGTTTGCAAGCAAGGCTCAATGTTCTGCTTTATTTCTTATTTTCAAAGAACGGATACAGTTTCTTCCTGCTCTTGGACAACTGCTGGTGTGGCTAGAATTTGTCAGAGAGCAATAACTTATTTAACCTGAACAGCTTTAATATTATTCTCCTGTCTTTCAGTATGCATTACCTCATTGCATATTTCAAATGTACATGCCTAATTTTGTGCTTGCATAGATGAGTTACTTGAATTATTCTTTATCCATGCAATATTATGCAATGAAGCTACATTCACTGCATGCATAAAAGAGGTTTGTGCCCATGCAACTGTACATACCCATCGCCATATGAGCCCCTAGAGCACAGACACTGGTCTGTGACCAGTCACCTGTTTAATAACAGAAAAGAAAAATGTAAAGATTGCTGCATCCAGGAGGCAAAGTCCAATTGAAATAATAGCAGGTAAGTCAGAGAAAAAGAACATACTTGCCAATTTTCAGGGCCTCGTTCTTACCTGGTTTTCTTTCTCATGTGAAAGACAGGAATTCAAGCCGTAAGTGCTTCCTCCTGCCATTTGGACAAGGCACTGAGTCTGACTTGACTCACAGGGAAGTGTCAGATGCTCAGTCATCCAGCATCTATTTTCCTAGACATCTCCAGTCCAAGTACCACTGCTTTCCTTGCTCAGCTTAGCAAACCTGACAAGACCACAGCCCAGAGTAGTCTGGCTGTGAAAGAGAAGCTGCTGAAGTCATTAGGAGCTCATTTATTTTCTGAAGATACCTACCTGTGTCTTACTTTTTTTTTCAGTGTTTTTCACTGGCATCTACCAAACAAGGGAATAAGGGAGGAAAGAGGGAGAAAGAGGAACTCAGATATTGTGGTGTCAGCCAAGTAAAAATTTTGGGATGATTGCATTACTTACTACAACAGAATAGTAGTGGTAGAGTAGAGTAGAGTAGTGTGTGGTCAAAGCCTGTAGGAAGAAACCTCATAGCCCAGCCCCATCTGTCATCATATCAGTTGCAGTGTTTCTCCCAGGGCCATCTCTCTGGATTTTTATCATCCTCCAGCTGATGGGTGCACCTTTTTCTTCAGGCTCTCCTTGGAAAGCCTTAACCAAGAGAGCAGCCTAGACTTACAGTCTGTGTCCTTTAGCGTCTCTTTCCATTTGCAACCTCTGGCGCAGTTCAGATCTTACAGTTTTGGCCAAGGCTTGTGTTTATTTATTTTTTCCCCCTGTGTTTTTGGCAAGGCCATTCTCTTCACATAAGTGGCTGTGATGCTGTTCCAGTGTGTGATTGAAATTGCATGCTTCAGTGTATAAATCAGCTAGATGAGGAAGAAAATGTGTACAGGGAGATTACTGCTGTGGCACTATCATATGATAGGCATATGAAATGAGAGTGTGACAGAGAGCACATCTTCCAGAGCTTTAGATCTCAGCCCATAAGGATGGCAAAATGCTCATGCTCATGCTTCAACAGAGGGTTACAGCAAATTCTGTGTTTCAACAATCAAATTTCATTGAATCATAGAATGGTTTGGGTTGGAAGGACCCCTTAAAGATCATCTAAGTCCACCCCCCCGCCATCATGCTTCAACAGAGGGTTACAGCAAATTCTGTGTTTCAACAATCAAATTTCATTGAATCATAGAATGGTTTGGGTTGGAAGGAACCCTTAAAGATCATCTAAGTCCAACCCCCCCGCCATGGGCAGGGACATCTTTCACTAGATCAGGTTGCTCAAAGCCCCATCCAACCTGACCTCGAAAACTTCCAATGATGGGGCATCCACAACTTCTCTGGGAAACCTGTTCCAGTGTCTCACCACCCTTGTAGTAAGAAATTTCTTTTACCCTTACTAGAAAAAAATTGATTTTTCCCTACATAAAATTCTGTATTAGTCATCTCTGTGTGAGCAGGGTAGCCCTTCAGTGGACTGGTTAAAGCACATGAGCTTTCATACTGTGTAGCACCCAAGGAAGTAGTGTGGCTAACGTTTACATATAGTCATACTGACTAGCGACTATAGGAACTGTATAGGAAGAGAAGCTCTGGCACCTGGCCCATGAGCACACACTGCCAGAAGGAAGATGCTGGGAGCTTGGGTGCACCCACACAAGGCTTAGGCAGCTGAAGGGCAGCTGTCTTACAACTCCCATCACCCATGGGGCATGTGACATCAGGATCTTCTCTGGGCCCTGGTCCAACTTGTCTGTGAGCCACTTGAGGCTGCAAGGACAGATGGTAGCAGACCAAATGGGGCATACTCTACTGAGCTCGCCCATACTGCAGGGGATGTGGTCTAAGCTTTGAGATGCTGGGGTCAGTCACTCTACAAATCTGGGAGTTAAACAACTTGAAAACTTCCTGCCTAACACTGAAGCCAGAAGGTTCACTGCACGTGGTGGCCAAACAGGCCCATGCTCAGCCGATGTTGAACTGCCTGGCATCCAAACCCTGTAAAGTAACCCCTTGCAAAACATTGGAAATTGTTTGCAACCCATTAAAAAAAATCCTTTTTTCTCCTCTCTTTTCCCAGTATCATTCCGAACCCTAACCCCAGACATCTGTTGGTACATGTCAAAGTAATAATTCCCTCATTGTGAGAGCACTGCAAAACTGAACTATATCACATGGATATTGGGAAACATCTGTAATGTAGCCATGTCTTCTGACGCTACGCAAGAAAGAATGAAATTGCCATGTGAATGTAAAGGGAATCAGATTTCAGGAGGATGGCAGTCACAAACAAACTTATGGTTGTTGCTATAAGGCCTCCCTGAGAGCTGATGCTGAATTACAAGGTACATTTTTTCCAGGTCAGATCAGCAAAGATTTTTCACCATTCAAACCAGAACTGCCCTCCTGAGCTTGTGTTTCTCTCTGTAACAAACTCCCAGGGTAGCTCATGTCCTTTATTCACCATTTCTGGCAGCATAGCTGATGCCTGCTGGTGCTTCTGAAATGGTATCCCAGCAGTCAGGCAGGGTTAGTTTCTATAGTGACTGGAGATTAAAGAACTAAGCTTTAATCTGAATGTAATTTATCAGTCCATTACATTCAATTCACCTGGTTATTTCATGTCCGTCTTCAAATCTGCTACTTGGTTTCTTCCCAGCAACTCCCTATTGAAAGAGCAAAAATTATACAAGGACAGGACCAAAAAAAAAAACCCATCTAGAGGCACAATGGTTCATATCTACAAGGCTGGGGACTCCCATCTTACTGAAGGGCCTGGCTAACAAACCGTCGTAAGAACTGACCAGGGTAGTGTAGGTAATGTTTTGAGGAAGGCATAGAAAGGTAAATCTAATCAGTCCGCAAGCTGGTTTTTTTCCCCACAGGAATCAAAATCAATAGAAGCACAAAGAGACCCTCCCCAGTTTCAGCCCCGTGCAAGCTATTTGCTCTGGTGTTTTAGCCCAGCTTTCATCTTCCTACATTCTATTTAGACCTACAGTCTGTCACAGGACTTTCCTGTGCAAATGAGCATTAAGAGCTGTGCTGAATGCCACCAGCTCAGGAAAATAACTGCTGTGCTTATTTTGCATTCACTTTGCATTGGCACAAGCCACTGTGTTGGACAGAGACCAGTGAGGCCCAAAATGTTTTCTCCTGTGCAAGCAGTGAACTGATTTTAAGTTGGCACATTGATCACCTGAAACTCTAGAGCTCTATTACAGTGATAGCTCAGGTAAGTGTCCAAAACAGAAGCCCCTGTAATAAGTGTTGGCTCCTGTCCGTAGATACATGTAGGTCTACAGATCTGGATTGTGCATGCACAAAAACATTGTGCTGTCTGGCTTTCAAAGGTACTGAGCTCCTTTGGCTTCAGTTGTTCTGAAAAAACGGAGAAGATGCTACAAAGCTATGATAGAAAAGCCATTCCCTGAATATCTATTTGTAGATTTGCAATGTTCCCCTCTTTGAATTAGTGAATGTAAAATATTTTTTGAAAATTAATTATACAGTACAAGATCAAATATGTAGAAATATATTGCAGAAAGTCCTATTAGAAGGTATATAAAGAAGGAATATAATTAATAAGCCAAAACATCAACACCCAGTACCTGCAGAGAGGGATAATTGTACTCTAATTCTTTCCTTGGCTACCTGGTTCATCACTTACATGTGTTGTCTAAAACCACACATTTCCTGTGAACTTTTGAATCTGATATTCTTAATCATGTTGTAGTTATTAGACTTATGTGTTTAAAGCCAAATTTAATGTCAACTGGAGATCTAACACTAACAATTTGTTACTTACTTGGATACTTGTTATTAATAAATAAAAAATTGAATTAATAAATATTTTGAAGATAAATGCCACCATGTATGCTGTTTGTTTACATTGTAGATGCTCTGAAGTTAGCCAATGGGATTCGGCCGGTCAGGTTCACTTGCTGCTTTTGGTCTGTTTCGCTTTCTGTTCTCATGTGCTGACACAAGATCCCAGCGCTTGGTTGTTCAGCTTTGAAAAGGAGGAGAGATGAAAAATGGTTTAAAGAGAAATTTTAAAAGATCTCTTACTAGTTCTGCAAAATGTTTTTTTAGGAGATAGATAGGGGAAGGAACAAAGTTCTCATCGGCTTTAAATAAACTGTCCTCGTTTCCTAGATCCTGCAAATCGTGCGACGCCCAGCCAGACCTTAGATGACCAATTGTTTATGAAAAGGCATAAGGCTTATTTGACTACCGAAGCATCCGAGAAGGAAGGCGGTGAGGAGGGAGAGGCCCTTGACAGATGATACATCCATCACACTCCTCACTCCTCAGCAGAGCTCTGTGTCAGTGGTGCATATTCGCTTTAGCAGGCAAAGATTCGCCATCTCTTATTTCCTGCCTTTAGATTTTCTTGGCACGTCAGGATCCATGTCCTCCCTGCACACCCTGTGACTGTAACTTCAAGTGGCAGTGCCTGAATTCATACAGCTCTTGCCTTCCCTGTACACCCCAACGTGTCATAGCCAGGCTCTGCTCTAGCTTCAGGACACACTGGAACGTGACCTGGGGGAGGGACAGGGGGAGAAGAGGAAAGATAGCTGGGGGTGGTGAGGAAGGGATTTGAGTAGGAAAGATATTGGCTCGTGTTCATTAATTCTTGAGCTTTACATGAAAGAATGTAAGAAGTAATGAGCACTGGTTTGAAATAAAAGTCAAGTTGTATAAATTCCAACTTTTTGGCAGCTAAATACATTAATTGCATCAGACAAATACAGATCAAGGCAAAATTTTCATCGAATCAGCTTCCAGAAAGGGTGCAGCCTTCTAAAAATACACAAGCACAGTCATCCTAGATAACATTGCTCTTCAGATGAAGAGAGATGGTCAGGTCAACTGAAGCAGCGTCTTTGAGATCCTGGTCTTTGGTGTCTTCTCAGAGCACTTCATCTAACGCACTGTTAGATGAAAATGATGGTGGAAAACCAGAAGCAGCTGATCAAGGAGCCCTTCTGAAATATGTACAATACAGTTTGACTATTCTGGAAGTTTCTGTATGGTCATCACAACCCTAAGCAACTATTCCGTATGGCAAACTAGAGGCCACAAACCAATTTGCAACCTGATGCCATCTATGACTCCTTCCTAGAGCATGATGTTAACATAGAGAACCTCAGTGACTGCCACCCATCAGGGACTTCAAATGGGAGTTCAAATAACCATGTTGTCAGGGTTGGAGGAGCAATGAAGCACCTGCACCGAGATACCTGGGACAGTAGAGTTACTGCTCAAGGCAAACAGCCACACAGCGGAGCTCAGACATGGCAAAGCTGTCCTGTATAAGGCCCCTCTCTGGCAACAGCTACAAAAGCAGGGCCTGCAGGGCTCAGTGGTGCATTGTATGTACGGGAGAAGAAAGGTAGAGGAAGAAAACATTTCAAAAACGTGCTAGGAGAGGAGGGGGGCAGAAGACCTGTTGTCTACAGTTCTGGATGCTGGAAAGGTGCTTAGGAATTACAAGCAATACAACTGTTTATTTGCACCATGGTGGTCATTAACGCCGGACTGTGCGCACTGCTCTGCGGCCAGCCGGCACGTGTACGCGTGTCAAGGAACAGACCTCCAGTCTGGTGGAGCAGCCAGCCCAGGCAGGCTCCCCTGGGGCCCCGGAGCCTTCCTGGAGGCTGTGTCCGGTGGAGGGGACAGCTCCTCCGGGGCTCCCGGCTCCTGCCAAGGGGCGCAAGAGTAACCTCGGCATTTCCCCGGGGAGGGCCTCGCTGAGCGGGGGCCACGAA